CGAGCCAACTCCTATGTCAGAGGATGAAGAGAGCACATCCAGCCAGTCAAAGTCAGAGAAACAGGACTACACTGAAAATAAGGGCATTCTCGAACATCTAAAAACAAAGGTGTTGATGGCAGCAGTACAGCTGATATTTCTCTCCAGGATGGAGTCACAGCCAAACAGACAAGGTGAAGTACTATGAAAAACAGCAGAGAGAGCATAACATTAGAGATTAAACTAACAGATTCTGCAGAGTGGGAGAATAGAAACAGAATGAAGCAAAATGATGAAATAGGGGTCCCTATGTCCTCCAGAAGTCTAAGCCTATAGCAGCATAACTATAGACATAGCTCAGAATAACCTGAGCCACTCTAAATATAAGCACTAATTAAGGCACCGAACCATTAATACTTTCTATTTCTATTATACTTTCTAGCTCTATCATCCATAATTAAAGTTGTTCATGACAGCGCTAAGCTGATGCCTCCCTCCTAGATTATGCAAAAGCTAAACAGAGCACTAGGAGAGATGTAGCTACTATAACAAAAAAAAAGCAAAAAGGACATCAAATAATGCAGAAATGGAAAATAGAAGTAGAATGAAGTGGTCCCTATGTCCTCCATTGGTCTAAACCAATATCAGCATAAATATAGAGATAGCTTAGGAGGATCTCAGGCACTCTATCTTTAAGCTTATCAAAAAGGAAAGTGTTGAGCCAAGTCTTTTACTGCATCATGGAATAAAACCGGTAGTTGGATGCACAGGAGAGGAGCCTGACAAACGGAAAGATTTGCCTGTCATTCCACTCTTAGAAATTATAGGAATAACAAGTAAACCTGCAGATTGAGTGATAAGTGCTCTGTTAGTACAACAAGATGGAGCTATTTGGGGCTGTACATGTGAGAGGAAGAATTTTAAACTATTCTAGATTTAGAAGGGAAGCTAAATAGAAGAAATAGAATTAGTAGCAACCAGGGGAGCACAACCTTTCACTGAAGCTACTAGTCATCCTCTGCACCACTTTCATTACAGCCGCTCTACAGAGACGACCATCAGGTTTGACCTTGCCTCCATCCATGACCTGTACAAGTCTGGGGCAAACAAAAAAAGTATCTCTTGTAATTCATCTCTTGATCCTACACATCCTATTCAGGCCTTGAACCACAATGAAGCACTACAGAGAATTGAAAACATTAAGATATTTTATTTTCACCAGGCTGTCTCTCTGTTGTTCTCAGGGAACATCTGACAGCCAGGGTACCCAGAGACTTAACCTGCCCCTCGCTATATATTTACTCCAAAACAAATGCAGGTCCTACTATTATAATATTTCCCTTCAGTTAACTTCCAGTTTAAAGGTTGGGTTTAATTGTAATCAAAATAAAGACACATAATAGACTAAACACAATAAAGACTCCTAAATCAAAAAGAAAGAAAGAAAGAAAGATGTTGAACATTTCTTGTGCATTCAATTCAATTTTCATCAGTATGAAAATGAACAGAAAACATTCCTCAGTGTCCTGGCTGTATAAACTTAATACCTAATGGCGCCTCTACAGATCAGAGTCTTTACTGACTTTCCTACCTCGGCTTTGAGCCACGATTAAATCACACATGCACACTCTCAATGCAGCATATGCACATTGTCAATGCAGCACATGCACACTGTCAGTGCAGCACATGCACATTGTCAATGCAGCACATGCACACTGTCAGTGCAGCACATGCACATTGTCAATGCAGCAGATGCAAACT